AAAAAGATATTTTCATTAAATTTGAAACTTTTCATCGTATAAATTCAAGAAGACGCCAAATGCATTTCTTGTGGAAGTCGTTCGTACGAAATCTGTGTTATGTTGGACGCTTCTTCAATCACGATAGTAATTTGTGCCTTATTGTGGATACCAAATTTAATTATGATAATTTCTTTATCCTAATTAAATAAAACTTGATATTGCACAAACATCCCTTGATCGATTAAGATTATGTGGTTCAATGATATATTCACATACACGCTAACAATCCAAAAGGAAGTAGAACGATCTCAAAATATACCGAAAAACTATTCAAACTTTTGTCTATAACCATCCTCTGAGTACATTTCTAAAAAGTGCTATGCAAATGTTCCCTAGAAGCACATGCATGTTCGGTGCAAAAATTGATCCGATCGGTTTATTAATTAATACTACTTTAATTAATGACAAACTTTTAGTTCCAAGTTATGTTTAATTTGCTTCCCATTTCCCCGAATTTTGGTTTTCTGTATTCATTTTTAGGATTTGACGATTAACAAAAACTGAACGTGAAATTGACAGTTTTTTATAAAAAGAGATATATAAGATCTAGGAATAACAAGCTGGGCTTACTTGCTTCATTATATCACCAAAAACCAATGTAAGAATATTTGCTTCTTTATGCAGAATATTTGAACGCCAAATGAAAAACTCGTCAAATTGACAGGCGTCGTAAGGTTAATGCTAACAATATCTATTAGGGTACAACTTTGCGAATAGACAATATTGCAAATGAAATAGTTACTATTTCTTAAAATTAAATTTATTGAAATTCAAAACTGTTGCCAAACAAACAGGGAAATCGTAATACCTATTAATATTAGTAAATATACGCATTACCAAAAAAATGAACATCAACATGTAAATGTGTTCATTAAATAGATTTTCTTTTATACCCTACACTTCTTGTAGCACAAGGAGGAGAAGCATTAAGTTTGTGCAGAGGTATACAACAGCCATATGGATTTGAGGTAGACCCACCTTTTATTAAGCCGATCGATTCAGCATCACCTTCTGAATCGATTCAAGCTTGTCTGTCCGTCCGTCTGTCTGCGATGTTTTCTTGTGTTCAACCTGTAGGCCGCTACATGTGAAAAATTTTGATGACATTTGAACACATTGGCGTAGTTGGGACAAAAGACGCTCTTGAAAATGGCTGGGATCGGAACACTTTTTTTGCCAGTTCCCATATAACACATTATTTTCAAAAGTGGTTATATAAATATCTATAGGGTGGCGTAAGGTGTTCAATAGTGAGCCGTGAACTCTTATGGTGTTTTTATTTTTAAGTCGTTTTATAATAAAGTGATTTCGATTTTAATTAAGTTATTAAAGTCAATCATCATTTATCTACCT